AGAGTGTCCAGATCTATTGTCCAATCCATCCTCAAAGGCTTAATACTCGGATTCTACTTAGAAATGATCCAATCGTGACAAAAAGGCAAGCTAGAAAGGGGATCCATCAATTGAAAGCTCAAGGTTCAGACTTTTTACCTCCTAACAGTTTCCAAGTCGATATGGAGGCTGGATCTACTCTTCCTTCCTTGCTCCTTTCCCTCCAAGCTTCCAAGATGCACTCTAAAGGCCCTTAATCTTCTCAAAAGCTCAAACAATGGAGTTGGGTGGCTAGGGTTTTGGGTTCTGGACGAGAGAGGCTGTAAATGAGCCCTAGGGAAGAGAATAAGATGCTTAAATAAGGTACCAAGTCCCGGAATTAGGGTTTCCAAACCCAGACCAGACTCGCCGAGTCCACTCGCCGAGTCGGTCACTTAGTCTTTGACACGGAACCCGCTTCGACTCGTCGAGTTCTTCCTTGGGCTCGACGAGTTGACCCCCTTTAGACTTAGGGTTTTCCTTCCTTTCTCGGCCTTTCTGATACTGTGTGATACACAAATATGTACTTCCTTTGATGGGGGGGGGGGTTGTTCTCTAGAGATATATTATTTTACCACTAACGGAAAAATAGATTTTAAAACTATTGTAGAAGTTCGGACAGTTAAAATCACACAAAATGTTAGTAGTATTAGAAATATTGGTTCATTTTATTTCCACCGAGACAAAATATCTAGATTTCTTTTTCAATTATTTATTGGTCCAATTTCACTATTAGGAATACAAAGTTTGTGCTCTTTTACCAACTTCATTTCATAAGTAATCAAAAAGTTGCATATTATAATTGTTGGCTTTATATAGCATAAACACATTCTTTAAAACCTATGAAGTATGAACCCTTCCTTCACTTTTGTTAATTTCATTCATTGTGCTTCTTCGTCCCTATCTTCCACATCTCTCATTACTTGATCCTCATCTGCACTATCATCATCTACATACGCTTGAGAGCTCACTACCTCTCTTATCAAGTTCTTATGTTTCAAGTTGTCTATCAAAATACAATTTTATTGATTTAGCCACTCAACTATTATATCATTATGAGGATAATAAAAAAAACATAATTTGCATCCACTTGATGAAGAATGAATAATAGCCTTACCAATAACATGAAACAACAAACGTTCCAAAGATCTCTTGGTTGCATGGATTTTACTAGTGATACTCGTTTGTTTCAAACCCTTTCATATCCAAACATAAATATAAGCAAAACATCTAAATAAATGTCCATGATTAGACCGAATGGAGTGAAGCCGCCGCTCGGCGTAGGTGGCATACACCATGGATGATGGCATGTCGAGTTGATAAGCTCCAAACAACATTTCATTGTCGAGGTGAGAGAGAGGCAACAACTATTTTTGTATTTTTTTTTCAAATTTTACTAATTTAACCTACCAATTTAATTTTTTCAACCACTTTTTTTAACTCAATACAAACTCAGCCACTTAGAAGAAACAAGAAAAAGCTTAAAACACTTCATCAAACAATTTGTCGCTTTCAGTGTATCGACGTCAACTTGATTCATCCAGACCACCAATGTATCATTATCCCAGAAAATATTCCATATTATACATATAGAGAAAACCAACCCCAATTTCAATCTTCATCCCAATTGCCACCCCAATCCCAATTTCCATCCTGATTACAATCCCAACCCTCTCCCCAACCCGATTTTAATGCGTTTGAAACATTGCAAGAAAATATATTACAATCTACTGAATCGGATTCAATCGAATCCGAAGATGCACCCATCGCTCAACCCGACCCTGGACCACTCAACCCTCAAGTCAACTAGAAGAAAGAAGAGAGGGCGGATAACCAAAACTGGAAATGGATGAAGAAAAGGCGTTAACGAGAGAATGGGTGGAATGTTGTAAGGAAAAGAAGAAAACGTTCAAAAATATAGCTTTTTGGAATGTTGTAAAGGACAAAGAAAAATGGCTCAAACAACACACATAGGAAGACTTCACAAGTAGTTAAAAAAAAACTAAAACATCTGAAAACTCACATAGTTAGTCTTCGGATGCACATGTTGGAATAAACCTCAATGACGACGAACCATATGATATTCATAGGCCGAGTTGTCTTATTGGAAGAGATTAAACGAAGAGAAAGTTAAAGAGTGTCGAAGGTTCTTCAAGTGAGGAAAGGAGAGAGGGTCTCATAGAGTTAATGAGCATGTCCAAAGAAGGTTGCAACTTGCAAAACAAAAAGAACAAAAATCGTGAGTGGAAGCTAATGATGAAAGACGTTTCAAAATTACCCATGAATCAACATCGAGCCAAGGAGAAAGTGCAAGCGGAGCTTATCAAGAAATATAATTTTGACAAGTAGTATTAAGTTTAGTTTTAAGTCTAGTTTTAAGTCAAGTTTTAAGTATAGTATCAAGTCAAGTATTAAGTCAAGTTAAATAATATTTCAAATGTTGTAGCTTTCTTTTTTTATTTTAATAAAATGATTGTTTTTTTTTTCAAATGTATTAAATTTAAAAAATACATAATTAAATAAAATCTTGACCCACTTACTGAAAATGACATGTCATTCATGTTGTGTGGAAAAAGTGACATGACAGTGAGATGGATGTCAAAAAGTTTATGTGGCGGCGTAACATGTCATGTACCACTCCCTCAAGCATTATAATAATAATAATAATAATAATAACAACGATAGCTTTGCTTCCGAACATAGCGTTTGTATTGTTCTTGTCCCTTTCTGAAAGTCTCTAAACTAAAAAATCCACAGTAAAACTTCTAGTTTAATTCAAACGACTTAATTGGTTTAGTAAAAATTAAAAGTGAAAAATTGCCTTACAAGTTGAATAATAACTTGATTATGGCCCTGAAAGTGGGTTTCTAGAAACTCAAAAACTACACAAGCCTCCTCAAATACCAGTTTAATTCTAGATTGAATAACTAAATGATCATTTTACCTTTGCATTCAATATAACAAATTTCATAATATTTATCTCATCAACTTTAAGTGTGAGGAGTTGGGAGGAAAAAGAACAAAGACAAATAGTTAAAGGGTTAGTGCTTTAATACACACAACTAAACCATGTTTTATGGATTTACCCACTGAGCTTGAAAGAAATAGTCATGTATAGCTGTCTAGATTAAGCTCATCAAGTCAAAAAGAAACAACCGCTTAGGGCATTACACATACTTTCTTTACGAACGAATCAACAAAGCGTTGATCCACCATTTTGAGAACATCAACATACATTAAATTTTTACATCAAAAGGGGACTAGACAAGCTTTCTAAGATGAGAATGGAATTTACGCCTTTTGCACACACGAAGCGTTGAACGGCTTTTTAGGGTGAGACACAAAATTGTAATTTTTGTCTCACTGATATCAGTCTCGGTTCTAGCTTTAATGCATGCCAAACATAATACAACGTGTACTTTCATATCATGTCATGTTAGTACCTTGTCATGAGTCCTGCAAATGTTTAACAATGATACAACTACATTTACGGATCGATAAAGCTTCTCCATAATTAGTTGAACGTCATTTGGTGAGGGGTAGCTATTGATTTATTTATATGAACAACTTCTTTAATCAAATGTGATAAAAAGTTGCATTGATAATTATTGAAACTTGTTAATTATGATTTTTTTTTGATAAAAAAAAAGATGAGTATAACGAGGTTTTGTTCATGCTGCAAATAAAACAATTTTTTGTTAGTAACTAGTATTATATACATATTAATTTGCAATGTCGATGACCCCTTACAAGGTTACCGGTCATTTGGTTTTACTATTTCCAAACCATAAATGGATAAATCCATATCACATTACCATCTTTACAGAATATAATACAAGATGCAAAATTACCATTTATCTGGAAATAGCGATTTTACCTTTGGTCATAGCCGATTCTCACATTAACATTTTTTACCCATAAAAATTTTGGTTTAACAGTTTTCATTCTTCATAATTTTAAAGGTAAATTATTGGTATTTTATAAGTTATGATTTTGGTTTCTTAATATATATGTTAAAGTTACATTTTTGATCATTTACATAGTTTCTTTTTATTGTTTTCGTTTTTATTGATTGCAAATGAGTTTCCCGCCACAATATGTGGGATGACTTAAATACTAGTTTTAAATATAAATGTTGAAGGGAAAGAAAAGATGCCTACCAACTCTTTATGCCAAATAGAAAATGTTGAGGAGCATAGAGTTGTAAAACCATGGCTTGTTTCCTCAACTGTTAAAGATACCAAACACCAAATAAATAACTTTTGTAATCTTAGAAGAAAATATTGATCAATTTTTAATATACAATTTTGTAGATTACTTAGTGCTATACTCACCATAGGCAAAATACAACATGCAAGTTCATCAAGTGTTTGTGAAGTGGACTCACAATTTCCAAGTAAGCATGAACAGTCTTCTGCCCCATGTGAAAACCATTAAGCATTAACTAAACTATAATAACAAATTAAACCTAATGAGATTATTGATAAAAACAGAGATTTACTTTTCCTTTCCAATCATTTTCAATCATGAGACGATAGTATTTCAGCAGAAGAGCTGAGTTTTTTGCACACAGTGGCTTATGAGTTCCCGAATGTTAACCGGTTTATGTCTGGACATGTCAGCATCTGTGCTGGATCCAAAACAAAAAGAACAGAAATACAGAAATGCCATAGGAGGGAGGAGGGTAGTGGGTACCCAACCTTGCTGAAGCAATGAAGTGTCTCTTTGACTACTAATTAAGCTTGAAACAAAAGGTATATCTGGATTAACAGCCATGGAAGATTGATCCCTCCAATGTGTTTGACAGGTTTCAGAACCTCAAAGTACTTTGTAAGATACAAGATACCTTAAAACATCGTTGCTATTTATCACACCTGATTTTCTCCATTTGGGTGACAATTTTTGAATCCCTTCGATGACTTTTTATCCTTTCTCTTGTTGCTTTGTTAAGTATTGTATCAGTCATCATGACAAAAAAAAAATGGTACAAAAGGATATTATAACATTAAAATGTAATGTAAACAACCATATCTCAAAATCATAAAGAGTTGAATAAGATCAAAAAGACAACAAAACTAATGTCTGAACCACTATCACAAACACCAATCAAGATTCAACACCCATAAACATAAGTTCAAAAAACCCTAAGCAACAATGGAAGGCTTAGAAGCAGATGAAAGCCTGGACCTCTTTTTGGCAAGACTCTCACTTCGCTTTTCCCTTTGCTCCTTGAGCCTGCTTGCAAGAAGCTTCTGGTAATCTGCAGCCTCTGATTTGGCCTTTGCAATCCTCTTCTTCTTGTCAGCAATTCTTGCCCTCTTTCTTTGCAGTGTCAATGGTGTCACCAACCTCTGTATCTTAGGAGCCTTGCTCACCTCCTTACCTGTTTCAAATTACCATTATACCCTCCAAACAATATACCCTTTTGCAAGAGACATGAAAACCAAAGGCTTACCAGCTTTGTTTGTGAAGGTTCTGCGATAGGTGTTGACATACTTCCTGACATCATCTTCTTTTGAGAGATTGAAAAGCTTGCGGATCTTTGATGCCCTTTTGGGTCCCCTCATCCTTGGCTTCTCAACATCGGTCAGTCCGGGCAGGTCGTTGTCACCCTTTTTCACAATCACCAAATTCAAGACAGACAGATCTTGGCTCACAATGCACCCACGCACAGACTTCCTCCTGCGTTCACCATTACGCCTTCCATATCCCCTGAAGCAAGGAGTACCTACATAGAGGAGAGGGGCAAAAGAGTCATTTACTTATTATCAATAAAAATTGACCAAAGTATATAAAGTTAAAGACTTTAACACAAACCTACCTCGGACAAGTAAAAGACGAACACGCCCTGGAGTCAACACTCCTTGCTTCATTGGGAAACCTTGTTTGTCACATCCTCCCATGATCTTGAAAACGTATCCCTTAAACTCCTGTTAATCAAAATAACAGTTAAGTTGAATATCTTATTGTTTTAATTAGATTTTAGTAATACAAGGCTATACCTCTCCAAGTGCATCTCCATTGACTTCCTGGGAGATCCTCTTGTCATAAAAAGCACGACTGTATATATTTTGTTAAAGCAATAAGTGTCAGCGGTCATCTCAATGATCAAAAGCCCATAACTTTGAAAGTATAGAAAGAATGAATGCAAGGAACTTAACACTGTAATCAAGTTTTTTTGTGAGAACAAAAGGTATAAATGTGTCCAGTTTTATTAAATACACATAGTGGAAACATAACAGAAATAACAGCTAGTATTCCAAATCAATGCTCAAAACCAGACAGCAATAGAAACTGTAAAAAATGAAATATCAATGCACACGAAAGATACCCAACTGCAATTCCTATTTCTTTTTCTTCTTTCCAAATTTGGATAAAGGGAACAGGTTTTTAACATAATCAAGCTAGATCATTGAAAATTGAGACTTGTTACATGTAGAGATAAAAGAGTTTCTTTTTGTAGATTGAAGGATCACTAAAACGTTCATGAAAACTATTTGCACGCTAAACCAATAATCTGTCATTTCTAAAGCTCGAACCAGAGATGTAACAAATACGACTATCTACAGAAGAATTAAGACAACGGGGTTAACATTCAACAGGATTGCTACGGATAAAACAGAACTACAATAATCAATGCCAGCAATTCTCTAGAAATAAGTTCAAATATCATTTTGTGAAATTGTAGGGAGTCTAAGAAAACAATTAAGAAATAAAAAAAAAACTTACAGCTTTTGGTCATCGTCAATTTCGAGCTTCTTCTGGCATCCAGTAGTTGGATTCGCGATGTTGAACTATAAAAATCAAAACTAGAATAAAAAACAACGAACCCATAATTACGAATGTGAGGAAAATAGGGTGGAAGAGATGAAAACCTTCATCTTCAGGCACTGCAGAGGCCACCGGGAAGAGAATGCGTAACAATGCTTACTGATTTAGGGTTTTTGGGGGTGATATGAAGGCCTGTTATATCCGATTCATAAAACATTTGTTTGGGCCATTGGGCTTTATTGTGAAGGTCAAGATTTTCAAGAATATATGAAGATACTTTTTGTTAATGGACTGTAATTCCTTTTCGGGTTTAATATAATCAAGTGTCAAGCTTCAAAAGTAAAGTTTTGGTGAAAATTGTAAATCGTGGGAGTGTGATAGAGTGGTATATTTGTATTGTCTGTTATTTTATTTTTTCAATATTAAGATTAAAAGTATTTTAAATATTATAATTTAAAATAATTGTCATTTTATTATATATATATATATGTTATTTTATTTTTTCAATATTAAGATTAAAAGTATTTTAAATATTAATTTAAAATTATTGTCATTTTATTATTTATATAGATATATATATATATATATATATATAAATAAATATATATATATATATATATATATATATATGATTAACATTTTCAATAGTTCTTTTAAGAGTTTATTTAATTTATATCCATCTTTCTAAAATGTTCAATAAACCTCATCTTCATTCGTTTTGGAAACCTATATAATACATTGATATAAAAAATTAAGAAATATTATCACTAGATATAATATTTAAATAATTAGAGATATTACAATAAATTATTTCAAAAAGAATATATATGATAAAAAAGAAGATTGAACATATCATACAATCTTTAAAATTTTATATTTCATAAATAAAATGTTATTAAATATTTAATAAAAATAATTAGTTATTAAAAAATAATAAATATTTAAACTAAAATATAATTAAGAAATAAAATAAAGATTTAAAAAGAAAAATTTAAATGTATAAAATGGAGAATATATATATATATATATATATATATATATATATATATATATATATATATATATATATATATATAATGGTCAGCAGAAAAACAAAACAACCCTATGGTTAAATAGCATTTAATGGTCAATAAAATGTAAGTATATAACTATCTAAAAAACTCTAATTTGTAATAAGTTTATTGATAATAATTGTAAGTATAAGTTTCAGGCTATAAATTTTTATTATCAATAAAAAAGTATAAGCATATTATTGTTTTCATTTTTTGTTATTATTGGTAAATTTATAACATATTATCTTTATTTTTTCTTTAAAATATCACAAATTTAAAAATACGCTGAGTTACACCAACTTTTAAATTATTTTTTCTTTGAAGTTTTGAAAATTTACGAGCCCGATTTACAATTTACGTTTTTGAATAAAAAGATTACCTAAACAATCAAATTAACAAATTAATTTTCTTTATTATGACATTCACATTAATAAAATGTCATTTGTAATTTTCATTGTGCGTCCCTTTTTAACCTCATATATGTTAGACATATTTTCAAATGTTAGATTAATGATATAACGTTAGTGGACATTTTAGGAACCACTACCTTTATATATCCCTATTTAAATCAAAATAACACATATAAACAAAAATGTTTGTTTTTATTGGAAATTGTTCCTTACAGGGTAAATTACACGAATCGTCCATGTGGTTTTGGGTAGTCTGCGTGTTTTGTCCCTATAAATAATTTTTAACTTGGACCATCCCTATAAATTTTTTTATTGCGCGTTTGGTCCCTAGTCGATGTAAAAAGAGAGTTATACCCCTTTTCATTTTATTTTTCATTTTATTTTTGTCATGTGTTATTTTTATAATAAAGATAATGTAAATGGGCCCACTCCTACCCCTTACTCTTTTTCTCCTCCCCCATCTTCTTCCTAAACATCGATCTGCTATCTGTTCTTCATCACTCGGTTCTTCGCCCACCGACAGATCCTTCTACAACTATTCCCTGAGAACCACCAACAATTGGTACACAAAATCAACAAGCATGTTGCTGCTCCACATCCGATTCACCCATATCTAAAGAGGAATCGCCCCTTCCTGAACAGTATCAATGAGAATTCATGTATAATCTTTCAATTTTGCTTTTTAGAGTCTCGATCTCCTATGATTTTGAGATCCACCGCCTCTCTTTCCCTTTCCTTTTTATCAATTCTGAATTTCAGTTTTGGTTTCCCCTTCATCGATTTAGAACTTTTTGGAGGTTTGTTCGATTGGTGGGAGATCGTTAGGTTTGTGTTTTAACAGACATGAGATTGTTAGGTTTGTTTAACATGTTTAAACGAAATCGTTTTAACAGATTTGAATTGAAATTTTTGTACATTTTCTAGAAATCGTCAATTGTTTAATCGAAGATATGGATGAAACTCTTGCTATGATATCGTCCCATGATGATGTGTTAACAACAAAGGAAGATGAAGGGCCTAAGTTTGGTCATGGTGGGTTTCATCGTTGACTGTAAATAGCGATTCAAGCGAAGTTACATTTGAAATCTTCGTTTTTTGCATCTAAAATATTCAAAAGTATGGGGGTATTATTGTTTCATCTGGTTCATTATGTGTGTGAAAGATCTTTTGTTAAAGTTACAGATATGGAGGTGGTGACGAGTTTTCACAGGTTGTTTGGTGATGGAGCTTTGACGATTGAAGAGGAGAAGAAGACGAAGTCTGTACATTGATGATAGAGATAGGAGAAGGTTATTTTTGAGCGATGGCTTCGATTGAATCGACATATAGTTCTATTTACCCTTATGAGTTGTAATCGAAGGAGAGGGAGATGCAACTGTTTACTAAAAGGGAGGGGGAGGAAGGGTGGGTGGTGGTGGCGGGAGAGGATATCGGTGATTGAAGAGAAGAAGAAGAAGCGGGATGTATACATCAGCAATAGAGAAAGCATAATGGGTTGGCCCACATAGATTTTTTTTATTTAAAATCTTTTTTATAATAAGATAATAATAAACAATAAAATAAGAAAGGGTATAAATGTCATTTCATGTCTTCTAGGGACCAACCTCGAAACAAAAACAAATTATAAGGACGGTCCGAGTTAAAAATTCTTTGTAGGGACCAAGCATGCAGACTACCCAAAAACATAGGGACCATTCGTGTAATTTACCCTTCCTTGCATGCATACATATAGGGTGTGTTCGGCACGGAGCATTTAGGAGCGTTTGAGAGCTTCTAGCTTCTAGCGTTTGACAAAACGCTCCGTTTTGAACAGAAAGTATTGTTTGGCACTACAAGCTTCTAGCGTTTAGTTTAAACAAAACGCTCCAAATCCAAAAGCTACTTCATGTAGCATTTAACAAAACGCTACAAGCTACAAGCTACCCGCTACAAGCTACTCGCTACCAGCTAGTTTTGCCGAACACTCCCATAAGCTTGTGTACATAATTTAATTTGTTCATGCAACTCTTGACTTTTAAGAGGCAAGTGAACTCTAATTTTCACGTGTTTCCATAAGTGTGACAAATGTTAGATATATGTAGACATCTCTCATTGGACATGCCATATTATTGTTCTTAACAGTGCGTTAATTTGTCTCATTCTTATAAGAACATGGTTATATATAATCATTGAGGTCTTGTTCAACTACAACTTACTATTGATCTTGACATTCAAGTCTCTATGTTATTCTTAGTTCTATATGAAATTTGGAGCTCTCCAAATAATCATATTCTCAAACTAAGGGCATAACATATCATTTATGGTAGACTTATCTACTTACATTATCCAATATGGTATTAATGACATGTTACATTTGTGTTACCGTCCGAAGAAGGTCATACATCTTGAAATATTTTTGGATCTAATGATTGAACGTTGTTTAGACAAATGCCTATATCAATGTTTATCAACCATAAACCTTAATTCTAGCACTTAGGTGCCTGCATAATCTCGTTAAAATAATGTATTTTGGGAAGAATGTGTTGATAATATACACCTTTGAGATAACAAAAGATTTGTATGATCTATATCTCATATTAATTTGGGATAACCTACAATGCTTCCGCTAGCTCTCATTTCTACCACTTTGGATTCTTCTTTGTAGGTTTTGTGGAAATCCAATGTTAGTATTGTTTTAGTACTTTTATTTTGAACAAGTTTTCATCATCTAATTTATTCAACATTAGTATCCATATAAGTATTTTCAAGTGTTTTTTTCTTTTACATCGTTTCATCATTTTTGTTGGAAACACCCAAAACTTTTTAGCCTGTCATTTCTTCATTAAAAAAAATGTTAAAAGGTTCAAACAACAAAGAACTTCTACAATACCGAAAAAAAAATAAAAAAAAAGTTAAACTTGATATTAGGTAGAAGTAAAGGGACCATTTATCAAGTTTCGTCTTTATTCTATTCGACCCGTTTGAGCTGAAATTGGAGCAGTTACTTGGGCTGCCGACGATGGACTCAATCTGCTAGACTGATTACTCCACCGACATCGGCCTTTCAGACGTCGAGAAAAGCACTTCCTTGACGAAACACACCACAGTCACTTTGTTCCCCTAAATCGGAGCCGGTAATCTACATTCTTCCCCTTCTTCTCTAGATTCACTCCGGGAAATCAGCAATGAACGTCGACGAGGGAAGAGCCAGCAGATTCGGCACTACGATCCACATAACAGCCCTCGACGGGATCGTCAATGTGAACTCATTATTCACTCTGGCGGTTTTCATCGGGTTAGCTTGGCAACCCACCGATCCAAGCAATAGTCTCATCGTTGACCCAAAATGCGTGGCTGGCCCAAAGATAGCCGAGGACCTCATCTGCTTCCATGTCTACTCCTTCAGCTCCTTCCTCTTCTCCAGCCTTGTTGCTTTGAGCCTCAAACAAGCCATCCGGATCGCCAAAACCTCGTGCGAGACTCGCCACCTAATGATCTTCAGTTTTGACATGTGTCATATTAACAAGAACGCTCTCCGGGTCGGGTATTTAATTTCTGCTGTGGGTTCGGTTTGTGGGTGTGGATTCTTGATGATGGCTCTTGTCAATGTGGCTCAGATCAAGCTTGGGACTTTAGGGTGTGGGAGTTCGCATACTTATGCTGCTGTAATTCCTCTTCTGACTTTTGTTCCTTTGGGGCTTTTGACATATGTTTTCTTTGTCTTGTTTGCTTTCACTCGTTAAATCATATAATTTGACATTTGAATGGTTATAACTTATAATTATGTTTGAATTTTAATTTTTTATATTACATGTTTTTGTTGCAATCTTGGAGACCCAAACTGAGATCATGCTTTGTCACTATTACGACATCTGGCATTCAGTTTGCTTTCGGTGATAAATTAATCATACAAGTTCTTAGTGATATGGGTTGGTGAGTTGGGGTTTTTTCGAAATAACATGTCGACTCTCTTGCTTAGAATGACACCTGTTTAGTGAAACAACACTGTTCTTCTTGCTGAATGATTGTTCTAACATAATGGACTCTAATATTTAGTTCAATTTTAATTGATGTTAGTGTAGTGGTGCAACAAAAAAAATCATGAGTTCTTGATGGTGTTTCCTCCATTAATTAAAGATAGTGTAAACTACGTGTAAGCAACTTTAAAAACCAGTATAAAATCCTATGAATCCTACCAGTGATTCCTGCATTCTGCTAGAGAATAGAGATACAAAAAACTTAAAACAGAAGATGGAAGCTTCAATGAAAAACATCTGCTTGTTGGGTTTTGTTGTGGCTCTTGTGATTGCTGGTTTTGGTGAAGTAAACGGAGCAGGTGAGTGTGGGAGAGCAAACCCTGATATGGAAGCTTTCAAGCTTGCACCATGTGCATCAGCTGCACAAGATGAGAACGCGTCTGTTTCTTCCAGTTGCTGTGCTCAGGTGAAGAAGCTAGGGCAAAACCCTAAATGCCTCTGCGCAGTTATGCTGTCTAATACTGCCAAAAGTTCAGGAATCAAACCTGAAATTGCCATGACCATTCCAAAACGATGCAATATTGCTGATCGTCCTGTTGGTTATCAATGTGGAGGTTGCTTAATTTCCTTCATTTTACTCGTTTTACTTTTACAGTTTTACAGTTTTACTAATTGACTAACCTATTTGATCTTTCATTAGTTTGACATAGTTGTACGTTGTGCTATGCAGCTTATACGTTGCCTTGAAAGCTTGAAGAATGAAACTCTACTGGTTTTCATGGAAGTTAATGTGATGTTTGAAACATGTACCAGTGAGTTTGAAGTGTGTCTTGGCTAGTTCTTTGTAGCTAAGGGTTTCTTCTCATGTGTTTAGTAAATAAATTACTGGTAGTTTGATTGTGATTTGAATAACTTCCATGTTCTTGTTTTTCTTTTTCTTGTGTTGACCTTTTATTTGGTCAACAGTTGTGTAACTTAAAAAGCCAATGCAATTTGGTGTTTTGATTAGGCATGTTTTGATACTTTAAGATTGTGGAATCTGGTTCTTGACAGCTATTTAAGTTGACTAGTTCCAGTTAAAAGAAGATACCATGCTCTGTTCCAAAAAATAAAAGAAGATACCATGCTAGATAGTTCATCTTATGGCACATCATGATCATGCATGCCAATGTTATATATTCAAGCCCAACAAAGACTGGTGTTGGTGGGGTCTATTGATTATTGCAGCATGAAAATGAAATTGATTGATATAAAAATCATACATGATCATGTAGATTCCATTGATCAAGTTTAAAATTTACTTGAAGGAAGGTTTGACTTTGTTTCACTTGAAGATGCCATTGACTAAGATACTTTTAAGTATATATGTCTAGTTATGATAATTCAGTGCAATCCTTTTAGTCTTTATGACCACCATTCCACCAATGACCAATGCATAATTTGGCTTTTAATCCACTGTTGACATTCAATTAATTAAACCCACAAGCATAGTTGCTAAGTTGGCCTTTAATGGATTTGGATCGATAGCCATTGAACTGTTCGATAGGAAAACACAATCTTATTTATTTATTTATTTACTTTTTAAAAAAAAATGTTTTATTAAATTTTGTAGAGTTCAATGAATTTCATAATTATATAAAGTTGTATAAAAAGAAAACCATTGATATGTCAATCCGTTAAATTTGATAAAGTTGGATACATCCTAGATGCCTTTTATTAGGCATACGACTTAGGGACTGTTTGATAAGTGTTGATTGAAGCACATCTAACTCGTATCAGACCCAATAAGAAATATATTAGAGACTATCTGCGAGTCAGACCGACCTCTTATAAGACACAATAGAAAACATATCAAACAACCCTTTGGTTTACTCGGCTTATAGGTTAATTTTTGAACCACCATATAAGTATTGCATCCCTCTTTTTGGCTTGATCATCATTTGCTTTTATAAATAGTTAACAAATATCCAATTTAACACTTCTTTTGAATTTCTTTGAATTCTTTTGTGATTTATAACCATTTAATCATATTGATCCATCATCATTTAAACCTGATTGGTGACTTATCGCTGTGGCCGGCAAGTCTTGATCGCCATTAATATAAAAAGTCTTTTTTCTTAATTTTCCTGAACGAAAACATTCGGAAAACGAAATCTTTTTAAGATTTAATCATTGAAAATTCAACGATGATAAAAGTTAAACTGATGTGAAAAATCCTTAGGAACTAACGATCAAAAGGTGTAGTCGAATATATCTTTGGAATAATCAACCTTAAGTTTTCTAGCAATATTTTTTGTTGTTCACGATGGTTCTTTTTGTTGTTGCCTATACTGTGGATTTAATGAAAGGAAAAAAGATTACATGCGTCACTGATGATGGTTCTTTTTGTTGTTGCCTATATTGTTGTTCATATGATTGCCAATTCCCTTGAAAGCTATAGTTTTAGCATGGCTATCACGATTCCTTTCAGAAACGCATTATTTTACTGGTTGAAACTCTTTATGTTTGTTGTGTATACCATTTTCTACCATGAATGGAAAACAAACCATGACGAGAAGGAAGGGAAAGACTTTTATATTCCGATTGCTGTTGGTTAAGCTTAGAGGATCCACAATGATGAGTTCAATGAGAGAGTTGAATGAGATAACAAGTCTAGTTATCATTGTGAGATGACACATTGACATTCAATAAATTTGAAGTTCATCGGAAAAAAGGAAAGTTTTTAATTCTTAAATAAACACTATAAATTAACTTTTGTAAATTTTTATTGAACTTTATAGAGTTCAATAGGACGAAAAATGGTAGAGTTGTATGAAATGTAGAAAAATGATGTAGTAATCCATTGAACTCAATGGAGTTCAATGCATTGTGGATGCCTTTAACATCAATATTTTTTTACCACTTTGCCACAATGTAGTAGTAAATAAAGATCAGCCTATTTCGATCTTGTATAAAAATGAACGGTAATATATATTTTTACCGATAATTCTCCTTATTCACCAGAAATGGAAAAATTAAGAAATCATGATTTTAGCTCTAATTGTAGTTTAAAATCCAACGCCGAAATGGAACGAAGGGACATAAATCAAAGGGGTATTTATTTATTTATTTTTTCAATGGAAGAGAAAAAAAAAGAGAAGGCACATAATCTCATCCGTCCAACGGCTTAGGAAGATAAGGGTGTAAATAACATTTTACATTCACTATTCATCTTTATAACTCAAGAACACAATCAATTATTTATACTTATCTTCTATTTCCTTCCATCCCATTCCCCTCCCTTCCTCCCTTCCATCTCCTTTCTCTCATAAAAAACTTAAGAACAAGATGTAAAACTTCTAAATCTTTAATTTCCTTTGTAAATAGGTTAATGCCATTGAGGGTAACTAGGGCATCTACAATTCACTGAACTTTATAGAATTCAATGGATTGACACGTTATCATTTAACTTTCACATAATTCTATTAATTTTTTCCTTATAATGTATTGAACCTTACAAAAATATAACAAAACAATTATTTTAAATTTAAAAGTGTTTCATTTTCCCCATTGAAGAGTTCAATATCTACTAAACTTCATATCATTTAACGCTAACATGGCATATGGTTGAGTTTAATCCATGAAATGACAATTAAACACTCCAATACTCCATCTTATTCAACTTCTACATTAAGTTATGCATTTTGGATGCTCTAACAATCTATTTTTTGTATTTTAGGTTAATGAAGATTTATCTACGCACTCTAACATCTTAAATAAAGTATTTTTGTTTCAAATTTATTATATTTTTTTATCAGTCATAGCCTTTCAAATTGATTTGGTGTATGTTCAAAAACGAGCTTTTGATAGATTTTAGAAGCTTTTAGTTTTTAGATATTAAGGAAATAATCGAATTAAAGAAAAAACTTCGTTCAAGAATACAAACTAAGAACATTTATTCTAAACAAAAACTACTCAAAGTAGTTTTTGAGAGCTTTTAGAACATATTTTCTTTTTTCTTTTATGCTTAATGACATTTTACATATTTCAAAATCTTACATCTACTTTTTTCGAACACATCTATACAAAGCTACAAATTTCAGCTTCTAGGTACCGGCTAGTTTTGCCAAACACAAAATTGGTTTCCATGTGGCATTGCAATGGAATCCATGCTTTTCCTATATATATATATATATATATATATATATATATATATATATATATATATATATATATATATATATATATTATAGTTAGGTCAATTTAATTAAAATAGGAATAACTATAACACCTGTTTTCCAAGATTGATTGATCCGGGGTGTTAATGAGTCAAAAGTTTGATGTTTGGATGCGAAAGGAGGTACCCCAGATGCAATTGGATTCAAATGAGAGTGTTGGCTGCGAAATGGGGTACCTTATATGAGATTGGATGTGAATGAGAGTGTTGGATGCGAAAGGAGGTACCCCAGATGCGATTAGATGCGAATGAGAGTGTTAGATGTGTAAGGAGGTACCCCGAATGCCATGCAGATGAGAGTGTTGGATGCGAATGAGAGTGTTTGGGAAGTGGGTATTTAATGAGCTACGTTGGGTGTACATAGAGTACGCAGGGCATAGAGCCGCAACATTTAAACCCTAATTTTTAGGATTTAGAACCTATTTAAAGGACCTTAAGTCCTTGAGGTCTTCCTTATCTTCAGCCTCCACGTTGATGTGTGTAAACCAAGAGGGCCGATTTCAAGAAGTTTGTGACTATTCTCTCAAGTTTCCAAGTTTGTGGTGATTTG